GCTTGATGAGTTTGAAATGATGCAATATTGCACTTGGTTGTTGATGAAGGGAAGCTCTTAATCTTCATGAATGAATTAGATACTTGAGAAGTTGAAGATCACACCAATCCCTAGCTAATCAGTTTGAGCATCTTGAGGCACAACCTAACTTGTAAAGCATACAAGCACATATTTTTGTATTTTCAATTGGTTAGTGATGCATAAACACACACACACACGCATGTAATACCAAATGTCATGTAAATGATGTAAATGAGGTGGAATTTAGGGGTAAAAATTAGGGTATGACAGTCAGCTGTGATATTTAGTTCAAATTTTTTTTTTGCAAGAGAATGAACTTAAGTTGATTTATTTTAAGAAAAATGGTAGAATAATAGATTTAGGGGACAAAAATTAAAGAGATATAGTTAGAGAGATCACACCAGAGTTTATACTAGTTCAACTTTAAATCACGCGACCTACTTCAATCTTCAAAAGTTTCCTCTTGAGATTTCTATTATCAATAACTTGAGCTTTAACACAGGGTTAATCACACAACCTTTCTTAAACCAAGATTTTAAAAGGTTTAGCTTGCAACCTCCAAGCCAATTGCAAATGCATAAGAGAACTAAGATCTTCAATAAACAAATTAAGTAGGACAACAGAATTACACAATTTTTAAAGTAAGCTTTTCACTCTCTCAGCAATAAGACAATGTGTAGTGAATACAACTAGTTTTAGAAGCAGAATGAGGGAGAAAGAAAAGTACAAAGTTTAGAAAAATTGTGCTTTAAAAGTGAGAATAACACTTATTTTTTATTACATTTGTTGAGCATATATTGGTTCATTTGATCATGTGCTTGATTCCAAAGCTTACTACAAGATTTGGTTCAGGATTGTTTAGTCCAAGATTCTGCTGAAAGAAATAGTTGATTTGAAAATTTGTGTAGAAAAGTTGTTTATTAAGATGTCTTGACGTGTTTCCGCACATCCTAGAGCATGAGCTACTCGGCTTGGGTTATGATTTGCTTCAAATTTTATTCAAGATTTTTTTCTTTCTAATTCTTTCAGAAGTTTGATAAAGATTGTGTTTTTTTGGAAAAGACTTTTAATCCAAATTAGGTTGAAGAAGATTTGATTAAATCATATAGTTATTTCGAGAAGATTTTATTTGGATACGATTTTAAAAAGAGATTTGGATTTTCATTAATAATAAAATTGAGATTTACTTTTAATGAGAAAATATCCACCAGTTTATTAAAGATGATTTATTTGTAGCATGTTTATGTTTTGGAAAGATATTTTATTATGAATCATTTACTAGAGGGTTTGTAACTCTTAATTATATCAAGTAAAAATATGATTGGATTTGTTTTACTGTAGATTTAGAATTGACTTTATGAATATTAGCGGAAACTAACATGTTAAGCAAGATGTATGACATTATACTTGACATTAAGTCTCAGATTGCTTGCTTGACGAGCAAGGTTAGTTAAGTATTATATTGCTCTTTTAAGTTTTGTTTCCTTTTCTATCAAATTAGAGATACAAGTGTGTTATATGTTTGGATTTGGAAAAGACTTATCTTAAAAATTTTTTGACAAGATTACATGTCGTGTTCTAATTTGTTCAAGATTTGTATCAATCAAGAGTCTCAATCATCATAATGAAGATTTGTTTGATTGTGCATGTTATTAGGAAGGTTTCATCTGAATCAAATTCAAAAAGAATGAATTGTTATATTTAGGATTTGATCAATAAAAGTTTTGCAATCAACTTTATTGAAGATTTATCTTGTGATTTTGAAGATTTCAACCAAGTTCAGGACAAAACCTTAGTGGATTTTTTAATTGGACTTTTGTTGCTATTTAAGGAGGCAAGCTCCTTTGTGAAGATTGAGACCTGGAAAATAAAATATCTATTCGATAGGAGAGTTTTAGTTAAGTCTTTTATTTTATTTTGTAATACTCTATTCTTGAGTAGTTAAAGGAATAGAGTAGTTTGAGTTGTAATTTTGTTTCGTCATTATAAACACTTGTAACTATATAAACATATAGGTAAAAAAAATAAGCTTAAAATGTAACTATCCTTGAGCCTGACCTCTCTCTAATCGACTATAAGCAAAAATTTAATTGATTAGACTAATTCATAAAAAGAAACTCTAAATCATGTTTTATCCTTAATCGACTTCCTAATTAGTTAGGAGGAAAGTTTTATTCTTAACTGATTAGAAGAATGCTCTAATTTATTAGACATCGAGGTTAGCATTTCAAATTGGTCAGAATTGCTTCTTAATTGATTAAGCACTTGCCAGGATTGATTTTTAGAAGAAGTGGAAAATAGATGAAGAGATTAAAAAGGTTTTAGAGTGTGTTCATCGTCTTAGTACTTCAAGAGTTACACTTGCTTAATTTACATATAGCTTTCAGAAAGGCAAAAACAGTTGAGCACAAAATCATGTGAGGTTTCACAACTTTAATTTTTAATAGCTTTTGTCTGATGATACTTATGATTAACTTTGTTTTATTTAGTTGAAATCATTAAAACCTTAGAAAAGTGTAACCTACACAACAAATAAAACCACATTTTCCCCACTTTTATGATGACATCACATCTCTCAAGAATGTGATAAATCAGTATAAAAATAAATGAAAAATAATGGAGTAATTAACTCTTCCACAGAGAAATAAAGAGAGTATACTCTACTTTCTCTAAGCGACATATATTGCGTGCTTCAGGTGAGCTCTAAGTCCATTTCAAAAAACCCTTTAATTCTTTGAGTGTTCGTCATTTACTAGTGTGCTTGGTTTATTTTACTTTTTTATGGATACTCTTTCTTAAAGTCACGTAAAATCATATTGGTAGACAACTAAACTACATGTAATTTTGATATTGGGTCGAATAATTTTTCTTCTTTCTAAAATCGATTCAAACTACACGGCACTAATAAAACATCATCTCATATTAGAGTTTATACAAATCAATTAGTTGTATTTAAAAAAACCAATTAGTCTTATTATGTTTATTAATTACTAATTATATAACTTAAATATTATTAAATAATTTAGTCATATATCACCCACACCCCATAATAACATAATGATGTCGGAATGTAGTTAAAATAAACATTTCATAAAATATTCCAATAGGATCTTCTAAGCCACCGCCGTGACATGTGGCTTGGGTGGAGAATGAGACCCGTGTGAGAATATTCTCTTCCTTACCAATTAAAGTATGCATAGATCTATAAATAGCAATCAATCACTTCATCATTACCAATTTACCGTTCCTATCAGTTACTAGTAATACTAATTACTACTAATCTATTACAAACTTGATCATTAATTAATTACTTCCATATAAGTCAGGAAAAATAATTGAGTCACAAATAGTTCTAAATGTTTACCTCATTGAATTTTTTATTTTCATTATTTTTCAATCTTCAATTATTTTGAGTGTTCCATACTAAATTGTATTGGTTGAAATAAAATTTAACGTTATACGTGATATTAAATAGTACGTAGTTTAGTTAATCTAAAGGAACTAAAAACATGGGCAGAATCAGTTACAGACAGCAGAAGGGTAAATTAAAAAGACTTAAGGATTTAATAGAGCGGAATTGTCGTAGCCTAGACATGAATTCTATTTCAAAATTTTTTTAAATTCAAAAGGAGTTTAATAAGTTGCATACGAAGGAGGATACATGTTGGAAACAACGGGAAAAGATGCACTGGCTTCGTGACAGAGATCTTAATACGCAGTTTTTTCATCGTTCTGCTACGGCTCACAAGAAATTTCAAAAGATCAGTAATCTACAGCGTGAAAAAAGATGCACTGGCTTCGTGACAGAGATCTTAATACGCAGTTTTTCCATCGTTCCGCTATGACTCGCAAGAAATTCCAAAAGATCAGTAATCTACAACGTGCAAATGGGTCAGTGGAGCAAATACAGAATGAGTTGTGTGATATTGCAAAAGATTATTTTGAACAATTGTTTAATGCAAAATCTAGTGAGTTTGATAATGTTTTGTCACATATCCAACCTGTGATAACAGATGAGGATAATAGCAGATTATTAGCTCCTTTGCACATGGAGGAACTGTACATAATTATTACGTGATATGCATCCTAATAAATCGTCGGGTCCGGATGAGTTTAATCTTGCTTTCTATCAGAATTTTTGGGACTTGTGTGGCTTAGACATTTTTGAGGCAGCCAAACATTGGCTTGAGAGAGGTTTTTTTTCCCGTCGTCGCTTAATGATACAAATGTCTGTTTGATTCCTAAAATTGCCAACCCTAATAAGATGAAGGATTTTCGGCCTATTTTTCTTTGTAATGTGGTCTACAAAATCTTGTCCAAAGCTCTTGCTAATAGGTTGAAGGTTATGCCTGATAAATGTATAGCGGACGAACAATCGGCTTTTGTGGAAGGTCGTTCTATTCTGGATAATGCTATGATAGTTATAGAGGTTATCCATGCCCTTAAAAGGAAAACTAAAAGAAATAAAGCTCTATTGGCCCTTAAGGTGGACATTAGCAAAGCATATGATAGGGTGGATTGGGGTTTTCTTCGAGGAATGCTACACATAATGGGGTATGGTGATAGGTGGATTCATTGGATGATGATTTGTATTACTTCGATCCATTATATTGTTCTTGTTAATTTAGAAAGAATTTGACCAATTGTACCAGTGAGAGGATTGAGGCAAAGGGATCTACTGCCTACATACCTTTTTATTTTAATGTTAGAAGGTTTGTCGGCTCTTGTTAAGGGAGCAGTAGCTAGACGAGACATACACGTGATCAAAATCTATTGAGGGGCACCCATTGTGTCCCTCTTTCTTTTTGCTGACGATTATTTTTTTGTTTTGTAAGGCCAATCTCTCTAAAGTTAGACATCTCATGAAGTTACTCAGTACTTACACTGAAGCCTCGGGTCAAGAGATAAATTTGAATAAATCTAAAATTTTCTTTAGTCGTAACATTTCTAACTCTGCCAAGGAGGACTTAGCTGGTATTATGAGAGTCCGTCATGTGTTGGATACGGGAAAGTATTTAGGGATGCCTTCTATGATTGGTAGGAGTAAGAAGGCAACTTTTTCTTTTATCAAATATCATATTTGGAACAAAATTAACTCATGGAAAAGTCGAGCTTTATCTAGAGCAGGTAAGGAAGTTATGATAAAATCAGTGCTCCAAGCTATACCGTCCTATATCATGAGCCTTTTATTATCCCATACACGGTTTATAATGATATTCAGAAGATGCTCAATGCTTTCTGGTGGGGAGGAGGAAGTAATAATCGGGGAATCCATTGGATGGCCTGGGATAAGCTAGCATGTTCTAAGAAGGAAGATGGATTGAGTTTTAGAGATGTTACAGCTTTTAATATGGCTATGGTTTCTAAACAAGGTTGGAATATGTTGTCTAAACCTTAGGCTCTGGTCACCATACTTTTCAAAGAAAGGTACTTTCCTAGGACATCTTACTTTGAAGCTAATCTTGGTTATAATCCTAGTTTTGTGTGGAGGAGCATTTGGAAGGCGAAGGAAGTCTTATCTTTAGGTTGCAGGTGGATCATTAGGGATGAGCGTTAAATCAAGGTTATGCAAGAGCCTTGGACCGGGGGTAAGAGAGAAGGGTGTCTGAGTGGTCCCCAGAACCAAGGTGTATACGACATTACTGTTAGAAATCGTATGTTGCCTACTATGAAACAATGGGATGTTAGAGTTATTAGAGAAATGTTTAATTGTGCAGAAGCCGGAGAAATCTTACAGGTGTCTTTGTTGGAAGAGGTCAAGGGGGATAAGATGATATATAGAGAAGAACAAAATGGGTCCTACAGTGTGCATTCTAGTTATAGGTTGTGGAGAAGTTTAAGGAGGAGTCATGAGAATGAGAACGGGGATTGGAATAGCCTTTGGAATGTTAAAGGCCCACCAAGGGTTAAACACATATTATGAAGAATTTGTAAAGAGTGTTTACCGACCCGTACTAGACTTCGATAATATCATGTTCCTTGTCCTTCTACTTGTCAATTATGTGAGAGTAATCCAGAGGATGATTGGCATATTTTCTTTGGTTGTAATGAGATTATTCCGTGTTGGACGACAACATATTTGTTCACTATTATTGATACTCGATTATATTCTTTTCATGATGCTAAATCACAGATATTTAATATTTGTAGTAAGGAGGATATGAAGGTTGTCGGTAGAGTTGCTGTCATGTTAGATGAAATCTGAAGAAATAGGAACAACCGGATATGGACCAATGAGTTTGAGGAAGCTCCAAAGCTTGGTTGGTTAGCCTTCCACTTGTGGAAGGAATGGTATTTTCTCCAAAAAGTACATGTTCTGAATAATGATCAACAGACACTCCCTTCTTGGAGTCCCTTATGGAAGGCTGGTTGAAATGTAATGTGGATGCAGCTTTCAAGAATGAAAATAACACTTTTAATAGGGGTTGGTGTATTTGTGACCACTTCAGAAACTTCATTTCTACAGTCGTGGCTTGAGATCCAGGAATCATGACTGTTTATGAAGCTGAAGCTTTGGCTCTTAAGGAAGCTATCCATGAAGCCACTGAATCGAATATGGTAAATGTGATGTTCAAAAGTGACTCCCAAATTGTTGTGCAAACCATCCACTCCACTCATATATGTGGTTTTGAGTTTTATTGTATTATTAATTCTATATAAGCTTTGTTAAGTGTTAATACTAACTTTGAGGTTAAATTTATTAGACATCAAACAGATATAATTTTTCTTGTTGGGACAACCAATTCTTAGCTTAAATGTATTTTTTTAAATTTAACTCTCCTTATATTCAACTGTTTATAATTAATGATATTCAATTTGAATAAAAAAAAAACTCTTATAATTATAGCTAAGTATCATATATAAATTGCAATGGTGAAATGTGAATCTTAAAAGATGAATTTCAGTTGCTTGACAAATTTTTTATTTATTTAACCGTTCTTAAATCTTATTTGGTACATTGAATGTGATCAACAATTTGGTACTACAAGTTTAGTGTAGGACCTTTAATTATTTGTGGAGCTTATTAGCATTACATCAATGATAGTGGCATTTCTGAAAAAAAGATGGGGACATGTCACATCAATAATGTCTTTTAGTAGTAGTAAAGAACAAATTAGCACAAAGAAATTTGAGTTGTTGGCCGCTCTAGTGGTCCCCAAAATCTCTACCAATGGTAGCAAGTTTGCATAGAAATTAATTGCGGCAGCCAAAACAATTGTATTTTCAAAAAGTTTAGTTTTGAAAGTATGTACTTGTCATTATCAAACCTTCCTAACTTTTGTTCTTAGTACATTTTCAAAGGGAGGATTTCCATCTCTGATAAGGCCTCTAAATAGTTGAACTAACAATAAGAAATGAAGTAGATACATAACTCATAATTGAACCTTGGAAACAATATAATGTTAACATAAAAACTAGATTTTGATAATTTCAGTCATCTCATTCAATGTTTAAACTGATTAAAAATATAGAGATTAATTTGAATTTGATTTTTACTTTTTTAAGAATAAATATATAAAAGTGTTTTTTTTTTAAATATCGAGTTTACATTGACTAACTTTTTATAATAATATAAAAAATTTAATTTTTTTTCTTCATATAGTTGTGAATGTTACAAATTGTGTTTTTTCAAAGTTGAATATCTTATATTGATTTCGATGATAATAGTGATATAAATTATATAAATTAATATGATTGATTCGCATAGACGTATAAAATTTTGAAAATCTATTATGATTTGGTATAAATGTTGATTTAGTTCGAATTTGCCGAATCAATTGTATTATTTTATATTATTTTAGATATATCATGATATTATTTTATAAAATTTGTGTACAAATATTTAAATAGTAAGATGTGTATGTTGAACAAATAATTTAAAAATTTATGTGAAATTTAGTTCTCTTTCTATTTGTTTTATTAATTATTCTTTTTTATTTTTAAATTATTAAATAATTAATATATTTAATTTATATAGTTCAAATACATCATTTATTTATTTAAAAAAAATATTTATAAAAGAGAATAGAGAGAATATCAATTTAAAATTTTACAAATACTATATTTTATAATCTTATTCTTTTTTTTCTGTGTTATAAAATTTGACTCTACATTCTTTCTTTATCTTAAATTTGTTTACTCTTTTTCTATTATATCATGTTCCATCACTTTCTGTATTAGAGTTAATTTAGTTCAGTTAATAATTTAAATGTTTATAGTTTGGGGTTAATTACTATGTGTGTAAAAAAATTTATACCGTAAATTTATCACCATCATTCATTTACATTACATTATAGATTATTAAAATAAAAATCAAACATTTTTTTACATCTAACGTCTATAATTAATTAACTGGATAAAAAAATTTACAATTAAATTCCTTATAGTTATACTAACAAAATTGTTGATTTTAAAAAAATATGATCATATAATAATGTTAAGGATATAACATGTGCTTACTTATTCAAACATCCTCTTGTCCAAACATGTGCTTACTTATATCCTTAAGATCAGATCAACTCATGTCCAAACAGAAATGGTACCTCATAATCAAACATCACCAATTGATTCCAAATCAAGCCTAAAACGATCTACCTCTTGTCTAGATCCTAACCACAAGTTCAATTCTAATTATATCATGCTAAATCATATAGAAATTTGAAGTTCACTAACCTGATGTAGATCCACCAACAGAGATGCTTAGAGCTTGATTCAACCTCCAAAACTCTCCAGAATCTTTCAAGGATGCAAGAGAATGATGTTTCAACCTTCAATTTGGCTTGAATTGGTCTGAATCTCAAAACACGATTTGAAGTTGCAGCTCTGAAAATTTGATTGCTATTTCTGGTTTCAGCACGAAATAAAGCTCAACCTTGCTCTGAATTCACTCTAAACAATATATAGAAGCTTTCCACGGGCTTTTGCAATCCATTTGAGGCCCAAATCCGTGATTCACATTTTCTGATTTTTTGCATTCAAAATTCATACCAGTTGTGCAGTGCAAGCTCGTTGCTTGTTCCAGAAGGTTCTAACACCTTTCACATGGTATTTAGAGTGAAATTGGATGGAAAGAGTAGCCTGAATTGTGTTGTGTAGTGTTTTGGCAATGTAACTTACAAGTGAAGCAACAACATAGCCACTCCCAAAACTTGACCTAACCTCAAAATTCTGTTAAAACCAAAGTGTTTAAAATGTGATTTTCAATCAGAAAATGTACTCACTTGCTTGGTTTTGGTCATCTAACACAAAATTGCATTTTCCCCTCCTTTACACATTTGAATTTTCTCCCTTTTTGAAACCAATTCAAATCAACTCTTGCTATGAGCTCAATCAATCCCTCATGATCTCTTGGCTAGCCTAAAAACCATATTTTGAACAACTTTCATGTTGAACAAAATTGCATTTGACAAGTGCAGGTTGGAGATTTTGGCCTATGGTTGAAAGTGACCTATAATCTCACTTTCCCAAAATACCCCTGACTTGTAAACCTCATAACTTGAGTTCTACAAATCAGATGAAAGACTTCTAGTACAATTTAGAAAGCTAAGATCACGAGGAACAACTTCCATGTTGGCCAAAAGTTCAGGTGAAACCTCTTTCTAGGTCAAAAATAGCTTTGAAGTCAGATGATTTTCACAGACAAATTTCAATGGCATCTGAGGACTTGTAACTTGTCTGGACCATAACTTGAGTTCTATAAATCCAATGGAGGACTTATAGTACTAAAATTAAAGGTATTGAGATGCTCTACAAGTTTCATGTTGGCCAAAGATCCATTTGAAACTTGTATCATGACTTATGTGGTCTTGAAGTTAGACACTAAATAGGGAATTTTGCACTAAAACCCTAACTTAGCAACTTCCCACACTCTTGATTCTTCTTGATTTGATCTTGGCACAACACACAAATGTCTTGTCACGTCATTTCATGAACTCCATGACCTAAAAGTAGGCCTTGATACTCTTCAGTTGTCTAGTTGACCTAGAATTGATCCAGATGAAACCCTAATTGCTTGCACCTCAACTGTGGCTCTTGTATTTGACACAATGACTTGATTGAGCTCTCTCATGGCCCTCTAGGAATTCTATGAGCTCCATACACATCCTCTTCTCACATTCAACACTTCACAACCCTCTGATGGTCTTCAGTTGATCCTCAAGTTAGGAGAAGATTCACACTCAAACATCTAAACCCTTAGGCACTCAAACCACCTTCTGATGACTTTGACCACTCCTCAATCTTGAATGAGACCTCTTGCTAGGCTTCTTTTGACAAGAATAACACTTAATCCCCTGTTATATGAATGATAACATGATATGCAAATGATATAACTATGCAAATGCTAATGCAATGAAACATAAACCAGGTAAGAACAAAGTTGAGCAAATTTTGGGGTGCAACAGCGTTTTCAGCTCCGTCCAATTCACAACAAAGGGTAAAAATGGAATAAAAAAGTTATAATGTTTTCAGCTCCGTCCAATTCCCAGCAAGGGTAAAAATGGAATAAAAAACCCAGCAAGGGTAAAAATGGAATAAAAAACTTATAATGTTTTCAGCTCCGTCCAATTCCCAGCAAAGGCTAAAAATGGAATAAAAAATCCCAAAAAGTGGAATGAGATATTAGTTCCACTTCGTTGTAAAATATCCGAACAGTCCAATTCATTCCACTTCCGTTATTAATTCCGTTGTAAAAATCCAATCACTTCATTCCACTTCATTCTATTCCGTTATTTTTAAATTATCTAAACATAGCCTTAGCAAAATACAGTTAATTTTAACATATAAAAAAAATTAAAAAAGACATTCATGCCAATATCTTTTAAGTTATCAATATTATATTATATATGTGATTTACTACCAAACCAGTTTCATCTCCATGAATGTCATTTTAGCATATAAAAATATATAAAAAAACATTCATACCAATATATTTTGAATTATCAATATTATATATTAGGGATCATTCTATTATATATGTGATTTACTAATCAACCAGTTTTTCATCTCCATGTAATCATCAAACTCTTTCAATGCATCCCTTGTTGTTTTCCTACGTGCTATAGATGCCTCTTGAATGCATGTCTCTGCTGGTCGGCGCTGCCCTCTGCAGAGTCCCGATGATTGTTCTGAAGAATAAAAATCTTGATGGAGAGGTTGTGCATTGTTTAGCATTTCTATAAGCTCACCCACAGCAGCATCATTGGATTTTCTAAAAGAATCACATTAAAAGAGAAAATACAACAGCATCATTGAATTTTCTAAAAACCAAAAAATAATCATGTCACATGTATTATAGGCTAATGTTTATATATATATATGAACTAATCTTATATAAAAATAAAAGCCTAAGTGCTAGTGAGTTTCACTCCGAATTACCCGTCTGCTGGACCCTTCATATCATCGTAGGCGTAGGCAAATGGACAATTGTATTCCGTACCATCAAAACTCGGGTGAGTGGACGAAATACGCAAACTATTAGCTGATATTCTATCTCCATAAAATTTTTGTGGTTCATCTTTTCCTAAAGAAAAGACCTGTAGAGAAAGCATTATTAAAATATCAAATATGTTTGAACTCGATAGAAAGTTTAGAATGCAGATAGAATAATTAACACCATACAAGTTTACCTTCTCAGCAGTTGCTTCACTTTGCATATCTGTGTATCTAGAGGAATTAACAGCTTCAAAATTGGAACTACTTCGCTTTGGCAATGCAGATGGAACTCCTGCCAAAGGAAATGATGGAAGCTTCCTCGACGGATCTGCTGATAGGCTTCCAACATAGTCAGGAATAACTCGAGGGAACAGATTACCGATCAACTTTGAGGCCGAGGGGCAATACATCACTTTAAGACAGAGCCTACCAGAAGAAGTATCCACAGGAATAAACCTATATTCCATCATTTCGGACTCTTCTTTTAGGGTGAACGGCTCAACAAAAGAAGCCACGCGATGAGCAAGGGTAAATGGACGAATCGGTGCAGACGCAGACGAACTAAGATCATTGAAAATTTGATAGGCAGGTAAATGTCTAACTTTGGCATACAAAAAACTCAAGAATTCAGCTAATTTCTTATACAAGTTTTGGCTCGACTTCTTAGTTCGACAAGTAGAATCCTTTACCTTCCTATTCTCATACTGCACAACCCATCTCTCCACAATTTTTCCACTCTTTGCCTCAACCCCTAATTCTTCTCCATGGTAGCAAAGTGGATATCTTTCTTTCATTAAACAACTCTTAGGAAGAACCCTTCTTGGGACCATAGGGTCCCTATCTAGAGACCTATGAACCAAAATTACATCAACCACAAGGGAATGGGATTCAAGATGGTTAATGTCCCCAAATGCCGCAGAACAATCCCGGAGTGACAAATTGAACCATTTATCTCTCAGTGTTGCTGAAGGCGAAGAAGACGAATACAGTGATGAATCTGATTTATCACCACCTTTACGCGAAGACACATTAAGCGCCCTCGATTCGAGTATTATGCGAAGGCTCTTCTCGAAAAATTCAGTGATTATCTGTTGCATCTTTACTGTTTGGGAGTGTGCATTCCCATGAGACAATACTGAAGAACTAACAAAAACATTAATAGAAACAAAATGAACAGGGTTTTAGATTCCCATGAGACAATACTCAAGAACTAACAAAAACATTAATAGAAACAAAATGAACAGGGTTTTAGAACATGAATGAGCAGGGTTTAACTATAAGGATTAGGGTTTTAGTTAGGAATTTGTTATTTTGATGGTGAGCTTGAATGTAACAAAAAAAAATCAGGAAAAAAGAAGGTGGAAGGAGTCAAGGAAAATAGTGAAAAGTGGGTTCTGTTAAGGAGTGAAACTTCTTAGCTTAAATCCTATTTTTTCTATTGAATTACTACTCCTAAAACATAATTTATTGAAATTTTATTTTTTTAATTCATTGAATTAATCCAATATATGGCATCTATATATATATATATATATGGTTAGTTATTATTATATTTGAGGTAGACCTAAACGTTGGGAAAACCTAAAAATATATTTTATCCCAAGTCTATCTCAAATATTATTCAATCAACAATATATATTGATGATATATATTGGATTAATTCGATGAATTTAAAAAAATAAAATTTCAATAATTTTGTTAGGAGTAGTAATTCAATAAAAAAAAAAATAGGATTTAAGCTAACGACTTACCAGTTTCACTCCTTAACTGGACCCACTTTTTCACTATTATTCCTAATTCTCAAAAAAAAATTAGCTTACTCTTTTCTCTCCCTATTTTTCTAATTTTGACTTGTGGTAATCATAGTTAAACCCTACTCATTCATGTTCTAAACGTTGTTTGTTTCTATTAATGTTTTGTTAGTTCTTGAGTACTGTTGATATCAGTACCACCTAAAGATTAAAAGAGAATGGCGTTGTGCGATGGGAATGCACACTCCCACCATGCAAAGATGCAACAGATAATCACATAATACTCGAATCGAGGGCACTTAATGTGGCACTCCGGGAGTGTTCTGCTGCATTTGGGGACATTAACCATGTGAATCTGATGTGATTTTGGTTCATAGGTCTCTAGATAAGGACCCTATGGTCTCAAAAGGGTTCTTCCTAAGAGTTATCACTTTGATATGTAATTTTTTTTTATAAAACCTACAAATTTATATTAAAAATAAAACCTACAAATTTAATTTTATTAAGGTATTAGTGCTATTATATATATATTCCAATTGTGTATAATATATTAGTTTAACTTAAAAAATTTATTTAGATAAAAACATTTAAAATCATAATATATTTAAATAGTGAGATATGCAATAACACATGTAAAATGAATTGTACTGATAAGTTAGATTGTTAAATACATAAGTATTGCATGAATTAGTTGAATTAAAATTGTATTGCGTGAATTAGTTGAATTAAAATTGTATTGCGTGATATGCAATAACACATGTAAAATGAATTGTACTGATAAGTTAGATTGTTAAATACATAAGTATTGCATGAATTAGTTGAATTAAAATTGTATTGCGTGAATTAGTTGAATTAAAATTGTATGATAATATGAATAATTTATAATTATATGATGACAAAAATAAAATTATTAAAATTGCATGAATTAGTAATTCCTTACTTACATATGTTTTCTTTTATCTAGTAACTTATTTGCAAAAAATAAAATACCCCTTAAAGATGGATAAATAAAATGTCACGGGTCCAAACCTACACTTATGCAATTTAATATCCTTTAAAAGGGAATATATTATACACTCACATCCTTTTTTTTAGACAAAACATATTAGAAAACATTGCACTCTCCTCCCAAAAAATGAATAAATTATATTCTCCCTCTTTCTTAAATTAAAATCCATATTTTAATCCTTCTTCTATAAACTACTCTTCAATCTCTAGTCAAGTATTTTAGTCTATTTTAATATATTCAAATTTTATGAGGGAACCCTTGAAACTACCCCAATTGTGATCATCATGGTTTGTGGTTTGTTCATGTGAGATGTCTTATGTTGGTCACCTCTAATATTTTCCTCCTCTGAGCCTATTGGGTTTGTCTTAATGTGGATATAGGTATCTTTCACAACTATTATGGCTCTTCATCTATATTTCATTAAGATGATTAGTTTTCTCATTCACTGAACGTCTCTCTCTGCACACTTCACAAGGTCGAAAAAACAACACAAATCAATGAAAATCCAAGGATCCATCAAACAAGGGAAAGACGATTCACTACTATCATACATCAAGAGGTTCAATGGAGAAGTAAAACTAATCAAGGGCACTGATGATAAAATATAGAAAATATTGGAATTAGGGCCCTTAAAACCTTCAACACCTTGTGGCACGAGCCGAAAAACTCATGCAATACAAGAAAAAATTTGACTCCAGGAAGAAAATTTACGACAAAAGGTTTAAGAAGGAAGAAACCAAACAAAGAAACAAAAAGTGGTGTGAAGCCAAAAAAGATTGTTACAATAAGATTTGGTTCTGCATATAATCTCTAGTTTTGATGATAATAATGCATATATTTTATATGTAATAATTTTGTACTCTAATATTTTTCTCAAGTGTGCAGATATAAAGTTTAATTTGATTCTTGATAGCTCTCTAGAAATCTCATCAGAATCAATTCTGGCACACCTCAAGAAACTACTTCAACCACATCTGGATAAACATCAACAGTTCTGGTGAATGTTAAATGTCTCTGGATAAGGAAAGTTGTGTGCTTCTCAGATAAGCTTCGCTTTTAGCTCTGAAGTCAAGGTTCTGGGTTCTGAAGACTTGTTCACTCTTAGCTAGAAATCAAGATGTTGGTTCTAACATAATCACTCTAAGAATACTTAAGTGAAGACAACTTCTGACTTTGAAGGCATTGATACTTCTCGATACATTTATCTCCTGGACTCATCATCATTTCACATCAGAAGATAAGATTAAGACAAAACTTCCGCTGAAAGAATTCGTACAACAGTACAGCCCCAAACTGGTAAAAACTGAGTGTGTGCCAAAATTGTTAAGGAATATTTGTGAGACTTTATTACTCCTGTCTCCCACGATCTTCGGTTTACCGTTGTGGTAGCTGGCACTGATAGTGACATTTCTATCCTCCAGCGTTCTACCATTGAGCCTATATAAAGGAGTTACTACTTTATTGCAAAAACAACGAACAATATTGCAAGAGTAAAAATGCAAAGTCTCAACATTCTATCAAGAGAGTATTCTCAAATATAAAGAGTTGTTGCTCATATTTGTTTATAAAGATTGTTCTTTATTTTGTTTCATTCGCTTATCAAAAGCACTATTGTAAACATTTTATATTTTAATCTCTTTAAAATTAATTTTCCTCAAGTGGCTAAGTGTTAGTCTGTATACTTGAGAGGGCTAAGGTGTTTTCTAACACTTAGACGAACTTTTGTAATCTTTCAAGATTAATGGATTAAGTCCTTATTGAAGGTGAAATCACCTTGGTCGGGTGGACAAGACATAGCCTATTTATACTCAAACTTGTATAAACCAAACGTCTCACTCTCTTTCTTAGTTTGTATATCTTGTGGTTTGTGTTAAGCCTTTTTGTCGAAAAGTTTTGAAAAAACCCAATTCAAACCCTCTTTCTTGTATTTTTCTCTACCTTCAATTGGTATCAGAACTTCGACTCTGTTATTAATTTGTCAATCAAACACTTAACAGTGTAGAGAGATCCAGTATGAGAAAAACACTATATGGTTGCTGCCAACACAAACGAGATAGATAGTTACAATGCTAAGCCTCTTGTCTTTGACGGAGAAAAATTCGACTACTGGAAAGATAGAATAGAAAGTTTCTTTCTAGGCTATGATGCAGATCTTTGGGACATTGTCACAAATGAATATGACATACATGTTACTGCGATTGGTACCCCCATTCCCAGAAACAGAATGAATGATGAACAAAAGCGTGAGTTCAAGAATCACCACAAATCCAAAATTATTCTTCTCAACTCTATCTCTTATAATGAATATGAAAAGATTACTAACAAAGATACAAAAAATGATATTTTGACTCGTTGAGAATGACATATGAAGGCAATACTAAAGTCAAGGAAACTAAGGCTCTAGCCTTAATCCAGAAATATGAGGTCTTCAAAATAGAAAATGACGAAATTATTGAGACTATGTTCTCAAGATTTCAAACCTTAGTAGCAGGACTTAAAGTTCTGGACAAAGGTTACTCTATAGTAGACCATGTCAAAAAGATCATAAGAAGCCTCCCCAAGAAGTGGAGACCAATGGTTACTGCACTAAACCTATCCAATGATCTGAACAACATAAGCCTTGAAGAGTTGGTTAGCTCACTCAGAAGTCACAAAATAAAGTTAGAGGAAGATGAGCCCCAGAAAAAGGGTAAATATGTTGCTCTAAAATCTAGATCAGAAAGAAACAATTCAGAAAATAAAAATGCCTTCCAAGCTGAGAAAGAAGAAGTAGAAGATTCTGACGATGAAGATTTTGATAACGAATAAGAAATGTCCCTTCTCTCCAGAAGAATCAAACAACTCTAGAAGAAAAGACAAAACAACTTCTGAAGGTCTAAAAACAGAGGAGATCGTCCAAATTCATCTTCAAAAGTAAGAACAAGCAAGGAAGTAACATGCTATGAATGCAAGGATCCCAGACACTACAAAAATGTGTGTCCAAAGCTTAAGAAAGAAAGCTCCAGAAAAGAAAGCTTCAAGAAGAATGTGTTCAAAGGCAAGAAGAAAGGTCTCATGGCAACATGGGATGACTCTGACTCTGAAGTACCAAAATCTGATTATGAAGAGGAGCATGCCAACCTAGCATTCATGGCTACCACATATAAACGAAACATAACCGAAACAAAGTCTGACTCAGAAGAGGTACTTTCTGAATTTTCTCATGCTGATTTAGAATTATGTTTTCCAGAATCTTTGAATAAGTATCATAAACTTCAAAACAAATTCAAGGACCTGAAAAAGGCTCATGAATATGAAGTTAAAGAGTGTATTAAGCTAGAGAAAGAAGTTTTTGAGC